TATACATACATGTATACATGAACATTGTGACAGTGGTTCATTTACTTTAGCCTTTATCTGACTTGGTGAAGTATCTCTTGCGAGCTTGTACTTCTGTGCCGCTCGGTTGAGCACTCAGCGAGGGACAAGCCAACTGTGCAGGTAGTTGGCGGGTGCTCTGGTGTGGGGTTCTCTGTCTTTCTAATCAAATATCTATCATCCCTATCTCTCCTTCTTTTATTGCTTGTTACTCTTCCGTAACACCTCTAATCTTCGGCACTCAAATATGACCTAATTGTGCTGCAAGTGCCGCAAAACGCTTACTTACTTACTTTATATGTCCTCTTGTACCTCCAGGGCGTTGAGGGGAGAAACAACTCCCTGTCTCTAGCAAGTTTGATGGCTGGCTGGGTCGGATATTGTATGTTCTCAGGGTATCCTTCACACCCTGGATCCAGGTCTTTCTTGGTCTTCCACTTGCCTTGTACCCTGATACATTTCTGTAGTTGGCTGTACTGGCAAGCTTGTGAGGTGCCATACGTGTGAGATGTCCAAACCACCCGATTGTTTGCCTTCTAATGTAGTGGAGGACAGGTGTTGTTCCCACCATTTCTCTAATCTTGTTGTTTCTCATTATGTCCCGTCTGGTTTTTGTTGACAGCTCTCCTTAGACATCTCATCTCGCAGGTGGTTATCTTACGTTCCAGACTTTTGGTCAGGGTCCATGTCTGGCACTGGTAGGTCAAGTTGGGTATGAAGATAGAGTTAATGAGCTTGGCTTTGGTCTCAATGGGGATGTTAGGATGTTTGAGGAGTGGGGCAAGCTGGTAGCTGACGCTGTTAGCCTTTTGTGCTCTCGTCTCAATTTCTCTGTTGAAACGTCCGTCTTCCGAAAAGATTCTACCAAGATACTTTAACTCGCTGACTTGTTTCTCCAGATTTCGATCGATGCTGATGTTCAGGTTGCCAGGTGTTCTGCTGATTTTTATCGTCTCCGTTTTGCTTTTAATGATCTTCATGTTGAGCTTTTCACTTTGTGTATTCAGTCTGTCTGTGTGCTCTGGAAGTTGCTCTTCTTTTTCATATACCAGGCTTTGATCGTACTCGAATTGCATCTCATTCGGGTCTATTGGGTTGGGGTTTGCTTCTTTTATATTGTGTCTCGGTATATTTTGAATAGTAGCGGTGATAATACACACCATTGTCTCACTCCAGACGACACGTCGAACCAGTCAGTGTGTCCGTTTTGGGGGCGGACTGCCCATACTGTTGGTATAGATGGCTCTGATGTTGTCCAACAGTTGTCCCCTATTGCTGTACTCTTCAAGTGTTTGCCGCAGTTTATTTCTGTCTACTCTATCAAACGCTTTTTCCTGATCTACAAACGCAAGATTCAGTTCTTTATTGTATGGGTCATCTTGGTCAACGTCCCCCACGAATGGTTCCAGGACTTCATTTCAGACTCTACTGTGCGTCTCCAGGTCACTTTGGGTCTGCCCCTCTTGCGATGTCCTTCGGGTGTCCAATGGAGGACAGTCTTTCCAATAGAGTCTGGTTCTCTTCTCAGAACATGCCCAATCCATCTCCATATTCTCCTAGTTATTATGGTGGTCATGTCCTCTTGCCTACATTTCCGAAAAAGATCTGCTTTGGAAATCTTGTCGCATGACTGTTCCTTGGAACGTCTGACTATGCTCTTGCTATAATATCTTGCAAGTCTGTATTTCACATAGTCCTCATCTAATGTTGATTTTTACCCACGCCTTGTACAACTCCTTCTTTTCTTTGATGGCCTCCTAAAAACACTTACTAAAACTTAAAAAAACAGGTTTGTTGTTTCATCTTGATTGGGTCCACCTATTTTATGTTTTGTTGGGGTTTTTTTTTTTTGCTTTATAATATTCCAGGTCCTCCAGCCTTCTCCTGTACTTCAGCTTTGACAAGGTCGAGAAGGAATGCGACATGTCCTACCTCCGTGCCATATGGCTCCGGCTGATCGGCAGCTACCCTCCAGAATGCTGACTAACCACAGAACAGACTCAGAGCATCAAGGGCTCGCTCTGCTATACCCTGAAGCTCAAATAGTCCGGTCTAATGCAGAACTTTCGTAACGTCTTGCGGAATATAAGGGACATATATGTACTATCCTTATGCTATATATAATATGATAGAAGAATTAATAACTGTCACAGTTGATTTTACTGTGCTTTTGAGTTAAAGCAAGGATCCACTTCGCTTCCAACATGATCTAAATAGTGTCGATGGGGGAGTAAAACTTCTTCAATCATTACAAAGATCCACTGTCATCAGATACCTCCATCATGTTTAATGCTAACATCGTCAATATTATGTCGATCACTTGTTTTGAAACTGAAAATACCGTCAATAAATCGACTGGAATGCATCTTGTTTCAACGTTTACCCTCTCTAGTTAAGCCAGTCCCCTGTGATAGTAATAACAGATTGAGCTTTACATTGTCCAATTATCTGTGCACTGGTTCTGAAAAACAAAAATACTACCATTATTAGTTCCATCTAGTTACATCAAAGAAGACCGGTAACGTCTGTACCGAATGCTACCCAAATAAAACGCCATCATAGCACTTGTCTAATCTTCTTGTTGCTTTGGTTTGTTTGTTTGTTGAAGCAGCTACATGTTCTTCTATGTACAGTAGGCTACAAATTAATGTTTTGCTGTTGTTGTTGCTGTTGTTGTTGCTGTTGTTGTTGCTGTTGTTGTTGCTGTTGTTGTTTTTAATCCAAAGTGGTGCTCTAGGGGGGAAAACCTTTCAAAATCGGGAAGCAGCAACCTAAGGTCACACACCACACATTATACTATGTGTTTATATTTTAATTAGAATCTATGTTTGAACATTCATGTTCATTCGTTTTCTGTGCCGGTGTGTTTAATCATTTTCGTTGATATTAAACGCCCCCTGACTAGGATCTATGTCGTTTTTTAAACCTTTAGCACATAAAGTACATGTATTTCTTTTTTAAAAACGTAGGTGTTTTACGCCTCCGTCGCCATAATTTAGGTCATTTTGGAGGCGAGTTTCCAACCCTGCCTGCAAAGGCTTACCCAGGCTGAGAGGGATACGACAACCATCCCCGCAGGAAGACAGAGAAACTTGATAAAAATTTTCACCCCGCTCGAGAATCGAACTCGGGTCTCCTGCTTACGACCGCGAAGTGCCTTACCGGAACACCGCAAACATCAATGTAAGGTTTTCTTTGGGTTTTAAGTCAGTTTCAATTTTGTTAGTGTAAGACTGCCGGCATTTAAGAGATGGGACTTCTCCAATGGGATCGAAACAAGTCGGCTTAGTAGAGCCTTGAAAACTCCCTTATTTCAAGAAAACATCAAGGTGGATTCGAAGCTGGGTTATGTACGCCATAACCCAGCACGTAGGTGGTTGGTGGGTGCTCTGGTGTGGTTTGCTCTTTCTTTCCTAACAAACATGTATCGTCCTTAACTACTGCATCTTTCTTTCTTGTGTTTGTTACTCAATGTTACTCTTTTATAGTACATCTGTGGTCGTTTTTATAGTACATCTGTGGTCGTCGCCGCTCGTGTGCCCTTATTGTGATGCTAGTGCCGTAAAACTTTAACTTTAAAAAGTAGTCCAGCATGATACCCAGCTAACAGCGCGCTTTTACGAGTACGAGTGTCTTCTTCATTCTAAAATAGTAATAGTAGATCTATTTATTTTATGATTGCCGTACAAAAGATGACCTCTACAAAAAAATAGTTCGAAGTTTCTTTGAGGATCTAACTTGTCTCGAAAGGGACTTAAAAAATGAAAAATCTTTCTTGGTCTACAACACAAAAGTAAATAATACTAATCCTGGCACACTGCATCGTCGACACAACACGCGTCCAGTTAGTGCTGTAAAAAGAACAGATGGACAGAAATAGAAGAAGGCTAGTAGCCTACATTGTAATATGTCAAAATCAAAATAAAAGGGAATTCAATTTGGACCTACCAGTGGCACACCCCACCTAAACCTCCTGCATGAAAATTAGGCGACACTAAACAACGAAATAAGGCCCTAGATGAGATTTTGATGATTATATAGATGAGATTTTGATGATTGTTTATATATATATATATATATATATATATATATATATATATATATATATATATATATATATAATGAGGTCAAAAATTCGTGGAGCAACTTATTGTCAGAAATGTTCCTAAACTATCAAAGATAGACTCTCCAGCTTTTGCACAATGACTTGTATCGGTTTGTCTTAACTGATCAATATTTTTGTTAACACCTGGTACTGTTAGCAGTATTTTAGAAAATTCCTTAATAAATATATAATTTAAAAATCCGAGTGGGTGGTTTCAAGGGCCTATAAGTAATAAGATTTTAAAAGTTTTGCAGCTCGGGCAATATCGCTTTTAAAAACAAGCTCGCAATTTTCTTTTGATTGAACTCATGTTTTGAGAACCTTTAGATCAAGTGCTAAACTTTGTTTGTTTGCTTTAAAATTAATTTCGTGTAACAAGTTTTGCCAATAAAAAGTGTTATTGATAAGCTGTGACGTAGGCCATACACGTATGCAAAATGTGTGTGAGAAGCGGGAAGTGCTGTGAACAATCCCATTTTCTGTGTGTCGGAGATCTATAGTATTTTATAAAAATTTATAAAGAAGATGTTTTTAATCTAGCTTCAATTATTGAGAAAAAATATGATTAATTGATACGAACTGCTGCGCAAAGTATGGATGACATTGATTCACCCTTCACCTTCACCTTCACCTATCCCGTAGACTGGATGTCCATCGGGGCGCTTTTGAAGAATTGGCTACCACTGTACCAGACCACTACTTTCGGTCTTCAGCTTTCCTGAGCGTGTCTTTGATTCACTTGTTACTACAGAGATATTTGAAGATAAGTTGCGCCACGGATTTTTGTCCGCACTAGACCTATACATCAGTCACACCACATCATCTGCATATAGCGCTAAAACGTATAATCGACATGTATTGGGAATTCCATCTGAGAAGCCTGTTGGTGATTAGACTAGATTAATAGCTTATGCTCTGGTGCGGCTTGCTCTTTTTCCCCAACATCATACTACTGTCCATTCTTTATGTCATTCTCGTGACCCCTCTAATCTTAGGCACTCGAATGACCTTTTTTGTATTGCAAGTGCCGTAAAACATTTTTTAAAAACTTATATGAAAAGTCTTAAAATCTTTTACACTGTTTTTGCACGCGCGACACCTGACTAATACATTGCTATTTGGCCGACTTTTGTTTCCGGGTTGGGTAAAAGAAATTTTCTTTTTTGTAAATGAGTCTGTTTTATGTCCCCATCGACACAAATAAGACGTGGGCGGTTGGCGGGTGCTCTGGTGTAGTTTGCTTCTTCTTTCCTTGCAAACATCTTGCGTCCTTATCTCCCCTCCTTCTTTTTTTATCTTTGTTACTCTCTTGTAACACCTCTAATCCTCTTGCGCTCATATGACCTTATGCAGTTGCGAGCGCCGTAAAACCTCTACTAAAAAAACAACAACAACAAAATAAACAAATTAAATCATTTAGGAGGCTGTCTTCAACTCTGCCCTCGGACTGAGAGGGATACAATGTACAACGTCCCAGCAGAAAGACAGAGATGCCGGAACTCAAGCGAATAAAAGTTATTCCCACACGGGAATCGAACTCGGGTCTTTTGCACGCTACTACGACGATTCCCCAAACAGCTACACCACGCCAGTGTGTTGAAGTGTAAGAGAAGATCAGCTGGAGTAACCGAGAAAAGGTAAAGAAATAGGATCTACACTTACAGGTAAAATTCTAGCGGACTGCTTTAAAACACCCTAAAACCATTTTGTACAAATTACATACAACATGGTATCAATTCAAAGCAATGACCTTAGGGGCTGTTCAAATATAACATTATAACCTTACACCTTTTTGAG